AAAACCACCCCGTTTCTTACTCCTGAACTTCGAGCCGGAGCCCCGGTAACGCGGTAAGTTTTTCGCGGCTCCGTATCGGCATCAGCCCTGTTGGGCCCCATCTGTGGTCTGATCAAACGCGATTATGAATCGGTGACATGCGAATTCAACGCGATGTGGCGGGCATGTCCTATGTACATGCGAATCGTTTCGCTTCGTTTTTGTTTCCGTCAATATAACCAAACAAAAACATGACAGCGAATATGCGAATATCAAACTAAATCGCGTCTGCGTCATTCCGCACCGCACCGCATTCGCCTCTAAATCGCTCATGTAGGACGCGGCATAACTGTAAGCGTGATGTCTTTAGCTTTTTTTATATTTGTTGGGCCGACGTTTGCCCGAGTCTGACATATTATTGGCCATTCAAAATTCTCAGTTGTAACGTGGAATTTAGAATTGGGTACGTACTTGACAACTAGTCAAAATTAATATAAATTTCGAACTGTAAAAAACGACAGTTTTCTATTAAATTTGTACGAGATTGTGTATTGTGACGTCACGTTTATTTAGCGTCAAACAGTATAGTTATTTCTTTAAAATTTGCTGGAAGAATACTCAAATTAACCGATTCGTTGCGATGCCTAATTTAGTTGGTCATAATATCAATTAATGAAAGTGTGATTATTGTTTAATATTAATATAGAAATAATGTATTTCTGATTAAAGAAAGTACCCAATTACGATTGAAGTTTGGTATTAGACTCGCTATCAATACAAATGGAACTCTATGACATAGCTATCAAAGTACAAATTACACCTCCGACTTCAAGTAACTTGGAAACCTGTTAAAGTGCCTTGTAGGCTATTTCCAGAAATAAATTCACTTGTTTTACTTAGGGTTTTTTTTTTTTTTTTTTTTTTTTTTTTTTTTTTTTTTTGGAACCACAAACAAGTTTACAATACACCTTAATATTTATATCTTAACTAATACAATTTTACTTATTGCAAACTCAACATCAATGGTCACCTAAATATAAATGATTTAGAAAATGATGAACCTGCACCTTAATATAATCATGTTTCAATCAGGTTTCATAGGAAGTGTTACCGTGGTGAAAATAATTAGAAAAAAAAAAAGCGTGTATGTATGCATGCATATGTTTGTTTGATTTGTGTGTGTGTGTCTGTGTGTGTAGGTTGCAGTTATAACACAACATAACGATGTACGATATTGTGGTTTATATATTTTCCTGTGATAATATTTTGATTATTTGCTTCCTGTATGCATGTTTACTATTGCCAAATATATCCAATGTACTCAACTTATTATTATATGTCCCAAACATTCGATTCAGCGGGGACCGACTGCCGGCGTTAGTACGTGATCGCGTTTTAGCAAAGACCTGCTTATGACGAGAGGCTCTCACATGGGCTCTCAAGGGCACGGAATATGTTATTTTATTTAATATTTTTATACAATCATATTTGTTATTACAGATATCAAACAACAACATAGCCTCCAGTTGTACTCTTCTAGACTTGAGATCAAGTAACTTATATAACTTAAGCAGTGCCTTGTAAGGTAATTGTTTACGAAGACATTTAAAATTAGTATAACGTAGAAACTTCTTTTGTACCCTTTCTAAGCCATTTTCATATTTTTGGTAAATTGGGTTCCATATAGCAACAGCGTACTCAAGTTGCGGCCTTATTAAAGATTTAAAGAGATAGGTAAAGGTCGATGGATTTCTGAATTCACTGGCTGACCTCATGACAAATCCGTACATTTTAAAGGCGTTATTAATAATATTTTCTATATGAATATCAAAGTGTAATTTGTTGTCTATAGTAATACCCAAGTCTCTGATAGACTGCACTTTCTCAATGTTAGTTCCACACAGTGAATATGTGTAATTGCTAACTACTTTTTTTTTACTAAAGCTAATACTTTTACATTTGTTAAGACTAAGCTCCAATTTGTTTTCGAGGCAATATAGGCTGAATCTATCCAGGTCTTCTTGAAGATAGATGTGGTCTTGATAGTTATTTATTCTTACATATATTTTTAAGTCATCAGCATAGAGTAGAAAGTCACTACTGAGGAAACATTTGTCAACGTCATTAATAAAGATAACGAATAGCAGTGGACCTAGGATAGATCCCTGTGGAACGCCAGAACTTACTATAGTGGTGTTTGACTCATAACCCCCAATTGCAACCCTCTGTGTTCTACCAGAAATGTAAGACTTGAACCACCTCCACAGGTCACCCCTTATACCATTGAATGCAATCTTTTCTAGCAATTTACGATGATCTACGCGGTCAAATGCTTTGCGGAAATCTGTATAAATACTGTCAATTTGAGTATTAGCATCGAGACCTTCAAATAGATCTGTGGTATATGCTAGAAGATTTGTCACAGTTGATCGTCTCTTAACAAATCCATGTTGCTGTTGTAAGATATGATTATGTAGTAGAGGATATATAGCATTGTGGACTAGTCTCTCAAAGATTTTAGAAAGTACCGGCAGTATGGATATAGGTCGGTAATTCTCGACGTCATTTTTTGAACCACCTTTATACACAGGTACGATCCTCGCGCTCTTCCATATTTTTGGTACTACACCCTCAGTCAAACATCTATTGAAGAGATAACATAGAGGCTGATCAATAACTGTTGCAGTTTCCTTAAAGAAGATGGGTGGTATGTTATCTGCTCCGGAACCCTTAGTAATATCTAACGATTTTAATGACTTGCAGATTTCAGTTCTGGTCAAAGTAAGATTACTGATTGTAACATCCGACATGTTTCCCGATACGGTGCCAAGGTCAGCTATGGTTAAGTTTTCAGTTACATCAGAAGGCCGGTACACCGAGAGAAAAAAATTACTAAATAAATTACAGGCCTCTTCGATAGTACCAGCCCTGATCGATTTGTATTGTATATCTGTAGGTATATCTGTTGAGCGCTTGCGATGGGAAACATAACTCCAAAAATACTTTATGTTAACCTTTATGCTAGTCTCTAATAACGCCATATACTGCATGTAACATTTTTCCGACATGATCTTAAATTCCTTTCTATATCTAGAGAAAACGTTATAGTTTGACTCACTATAATACTTTTTCATTCTAATCCATGCTTGATTTTTTTTCTTACTTAATTTTATCAATTTTGCCGTGAACCAGACCGGGTACGATTGTGATTTAATAACTTGTAAAGGTATATTTTGTTTAATGATACTGTATAATTTTTCATAAAAACAGGATACCGCCTCCTCAATCTCCCTATTCATTAATAGTTCATTCCAATTTATAATAGACAACTCTTGTTTAATTTTATCGTAATTAGCTTTGTTAAAACTGTATTTGGAAGATGGCTTACGTTGGATGTAGCTACTATTACTTATGAATGGTACCGAGACCCAGAACGGGGGATGATGTTCATCTGTGGACACTAATGAATTAGGGGCCGAAAACAGTACGCAATCCAACACATTAGTGAAAAACAAATCTAATATGGTTTTATTGTGATTTTGTAATGTATTTATTTGGTAACAGTTTGATATTGTCATGAAGTTATTTATGCACCGGTGTGTTTGATTTAAATCAGCACAGCTTAGACACTTTTTGTATGGCTCCCCATTAATCCAATTCAATTTAGGTAAATTAAAATCCCCAACGACAATCAAATACTCTCCGTTATTACTTTGATCCACTAATTTTTTTTGCAAAGCATAAAAAAAGTCATTATAAACTTGATTGTTTTGCTTTGGTGGAATGTAAACAGCACCAACACAAAAACGGGTTTTAGTTAAATGTAGTTCGATAAATACTTGGTCTATGATGGAGGGGACAGGCGAGATCGATGCGAGTGCGCAGCCGGCACACAGCGCGCGCCGCACGGCAATCAGTACGCCACCACCATCGCGTCGACCGCTCGAATCTCGATCTCGGTCCGCGCGAAATATTACATATCTGCTATCAATAAACTCATTATCTGAAATATCTGTATGCAACCAAGTTTCGGTTAGTATGACAATATCGTACGAATTTGACAATACATTCATGTATAGTGTATGTAGTTTGGTTCTAAGGCCCCGGCAATTCTGGTAATAAATAGAAATATTTTTAGTGTTATCCATTTATAGCTATACCTTCATAAAGTTTAGTTGTTAGATTTGTTAGATACCCGCTCTGATTATACATGTATATTAGTGAAATAATTTGTAATATCGAGAACTGCTGTGTTTGTGTAAGTAATAGGTAATAGATAACACCGAGCAGCCAGCCATCGTTGCATTTTATTAGAATTATTATTGGAACATATATAAAGTACGAGCAAAGTATTGTTAGAAATATTTTCCGATACATAATATTACAACTACATGAAAACCTGATTGAACCTGCAAACACACACAACCCAGGAGACCCACACATTGTTAGAGTTATATAAACATAACAATACACTATAAAGTACAGATGAATGCAGCAAATATTAACCAAAGTTTCATTTAATTTTCTTGACATCGTGCTCCTTACGAACCGCAAAGATCTCGGACGAGTCCGTTTGACGCACCAATATTGTACCATTCTTAATCCATACGTATTTGTAGTTTTGTTTGGTTGCGGCCTCGCGACACATCCGAAATAATTGTTTATTCTTGCCAGTAAGATGTTCATTTATATATACATTCTGTGCAGTCCCTGATATAGACAACTGATCTGATTTTAGTCCTTTAGCTAACTTTGCCGCTTCGATGAAGTTATTACGAAGAATCTTAGTTGTAAATCTCACTATAATATTTTTCGGTCGAGTAGTTTTCCTATCGAAGTGCGGTACTCTGTGAACTGACACGACGTCGGACATTTTAATCGGATGTTGCAGTGTTGTGTACGACCCCTAAAAACATTATAAAATTTGGTTGTTTTCAAAACACTACAACTAAACTAAAATTAACAGGCAAAACTCAGCGATAAAATTTAATTTATTACTATCAAACTCAATACATAATAATAATAATATAGTAATAGTAATAAGTAATAATTATTAAAAATAATAATTCCTACTATATTTACTCTTGCAACATTTCCGGATATCTATTATTATTGTTCGTTTTTTGACGCTGGCAACACAGTTTGAAATAAAACCGTTATGTTCAAATGAAATATAAAATAATACATTTTCTTCATTGTACAGATTTTCTGATAAAAATACTGTCAAATATATTTCATATAAATCGTACCATACAGCTTGACAAAAATCAGTTTGACGGTGACAGCTGGAGCTAATATTGACCTGGACTGAATCACTCACTTCGGACCACATCCCATGAATAAACAATCATCCGAACATAGTACCTCCTCTTTTTGAACTCGATAAAAATAACAAATATCAAAACCGGTTGAGTCGTAGTGTACCAGGTTGCCGCAAGTACGATACTAGCGACCTCAATTCCAAACTCTTTTTGCCAAGCTGTACTTAAATGTAGTGACAGGATCTTCTCCATCTTCGAGTCACAATTGCAAACAAGGATGATGATAATGACCTAAAATGTTCAAAATAAGATTCAATATCTATAAAAAATACGTAATTCTTTAATAGAATTAAAATTAACGTCAAAAATTGATGTCAACCTAAACAAGATCGATTATAAGTATTTCATAATCGCAGCGTGGGGACTGGTGATCAATGCTGAAACCGTCTCCGCGTGAGAAGAGGCCTTTGGTCAGCGCTGGCCACTTATAGGCTGTTGATTAAATTAAATTCCGTTAAGTTATAGCCACATCATCATCCCTTTCACAGAACTCAGAGACAGACAGAAAAACAAGCGAAGCGCCGAACTAAAAAACCAACCTTTCATATATTAAATATCTACACAAAAACAAACTACATTAAACCGAACAACAGAAGAAAAGAATTCAAATTATTTCAAAAATCACATTGCAATTTTTTATAGTGGCAACACTTCATTTTCAGTCTTTTTGGTAGAAAACCCAGTTTAGTAAAGCTTGCAACACCATGGCTAAGACGAAACCGCCGAAGAGGTCCCAGGAATGACTTGATGTCGGGACCCTGCCGACATTCTGGGGCCTAAACGCAGCAGCCTGTCTTTGTCCTTCGCTAATAGTCTCTACACTTTTTGAGAGTCTCTCTATGGCTAGAGTCTGTTCTCTCAGAGCGGTATCTATTGCGTAGAGACTCTGTTTTAGGGTGCGCCTGTAACAGAGAAAGATTTTTTTAGTTATTTCTCTTGTTTAGAGGATCTTGAAGGGCTTGATAAGGTGGTTGTAACTTCTCTGGCGTTGCGGGTGTTCTTAAGTGATGTCAATTGCTTACCATCAGGTGAGATGGATGCTTGTTAACCACATAATTTCATAAAAAAGAAACAGTAAACGATATGATAGGTAGCATCGTTGAAAATAAATTGTTGGAATATTCAAGTACTTTAAAGGGCTACACACATTTTTTTTTTTAATGTTGCCTCTAGAAATTTCTTCTGTATCGTGGGTGGACATACAAGTTCACATACACATGACACCCAGATCCGGAACAACAATTAATGGATAACAGAAAGAGTTTCTCCGTGCGGGAATCGAACCCGCTACACGTTGTGCGGCAGCTGGTTGCCCAGCCACCGCGTCAACAGTGCAGTGTGCACATTAAAAGTACGCGGTGTGACAGAGCCAAAAATATTAATTAATAAACTCAGGATTCGAACCGGAGATCACTTTTAACAAATTATATCTCCTACTTAAAAGTTAGACGCATATACAGACGCCAGCGACGATAAACACAAACTCATAATAACATTATTATCAATCTGTCAATCCATTAATGTCGTATTCTTCTCCGTGTGAGAATATGCCTTTGTTCAGGACAGTTACAGGCTAATATAAAACTATTTGTATCACCAATAATAATACTTTAAATTAACTACACTATAAATATTACAAAATTACAATCAAAATACAATTAATGGCTCTTTTAAAACGAAATTATGTTTTCAGCCCACTCACGTCACTCTTTGACGAGGAACTCGACTAGTTTCAAGCCATGCTAGAGGCTCATACTCATGAGCAGCATTCCGCGACCATTCATTCAGTGCGACTGATCCACCAATTTAAGATTGCGCAGCGAGTTAGGGAGAGGGCTATGCTCAGAGTCTCTTTGAAGGATCGAATACGAAACAAAGTGATCCAACAGAGAACCAAAGTTATCGACATAGCCTAAAGGATCAGTAAGCTGAAGTGGCAGTGGGCCGGTCACATTTGTCGAAGAACCGATAACCGTTGGGGTAAACGTGTTCTGGAGTGGAGACCGCGTCTAGGCAAACGTAGTGTAGGGGGCCCTCCAGCTAGGTGGAGTGACGACATCCGCAAGGTGGCTGGCAGTGGTTGGATGAGAAGAGCTGAAGACCGAGCTCAGTGGTGTGCCATTGGAGATGCCTATGTCTAGTGGACGAATACAGGCTGATGATGATTCCGCGACCCGCGACGCGGCGTCTGTCACGCTAACGACGAAACTAGTCGAGTTCGTCGTCAAACAGTTACTTGAGTGAGCCGAGAACATAATGATAATATAAACGAAATAAGTATGTACTATATATCAGTAAAATACATAATAACAAGAATCAGTAAGCTATTATTAAAAAAAAATCTATGTCACATTGATTTTTTTTATGAAATAAGCCGGTAAAGATAGACCACCTGATGGTAAACAATCGGTGCTGCCCATGGACAACTAGAACACCAGAGGCGTTACAAGTGCGTTACCGGCCTTTTGGGGATTAGGAATTTGAGGATTATTGGGGTTTCAGGGGTTGGGGAGACTGGTGAGGAACTGTAATTCGGCCTCCGATAACCTCATTCACACGACGATACACAACGCTGTGGTTGTTTCACTATGGTTTTCTACTCGGCCGTGGTATCACTCCGGTCGAGCCGGCCCATTCGTGCCGAAGCATGGCTCTCCTACACTTAAATTGTTTTGATATTTAGTATTCAGTTCAATATCAAATACAAGTACTTGATCAATTTGAATTACACAACCACTTTTACTTACAAAACCTACATCATTTAATTATAATATACGGTTTACCCACATGTACTATTCGAGATAAACTCTACTAGTTTCGAGTCACCTTGTCGTAGTCGCTGCTTATGATTAAGGGTTCCGTGACTCGAAACTAGTCGAGCTTTCCTCAAATAGTTGACGAGAGTACGTCGTACTTGACATCTTACACAAAAATACTATCGAAAATACTCTACGATTTTACGAAAACTATTTTAGACCTAAAAACAATCTAGATAATATTCTAGTCTATAAGATTAATCGACTAACAGTATATTTGACGTAAATTTCTCACGTGAAGGTACGGCTTCTCTGTTCCATCCGTGTATCGGATAAGACAACATGCCTTGACGTATCCGGCGATGAATCGGTTTTTTTAGACTTCACTTCCGTTCTAACGAAATTAAAGATTAAAATCAAGCTTTTACACTAGCTACCATTTATTGTCATGCAAACTTATCGTGTATACAAAATGACAGCTCAATCGGTTGAAAATATCAGGCGGCTTACTCTTGAATCCAATTCCAATCGATCGACATTGGTAATGCGAAATTTCGTACTCTTGAGTCACAACACTAGCGCCCATTGCATCCGTATTGCGTGGATATTGAATGAACTAAATGGTATTGAGTTTGGTTTTGTATTCCGTACTTTGAATGCTATTGTAACAGCTACGATTGTTGTTGTGTAGTGTTGACATTGGATAATTAGATTTTATTAGATTAAAATTGCATTGACATTGAGATTGGTTACAAGAGTAAGCATACTGTAAGCGATAACTATGTGACTAGAGTATTGCATTGTGAACCCGATTGGAAAAGAGTAACCTATGGAGTTTCTTACTCGTTCTTCTACATAGGAATCTACACCTTGGAATGTGCTACTAGCTTAACTTTTAAATTATTCATTGACATTCAAATGTCCCTTCCTGGGTGCTTACTCTTGAAACCAATCTCAATATCAATGCAATTTCAATTTAACTATTCAATGTCATATGTCAAAACAATACAACCCCTATCGTAGCTGTTACAATAGTATTCAGAGTACGGAATATAAAGCCAAACTCAATACCATTTAGTTCATTCAATATCCATGCAATACTGAAGCAATGGGCACTAGTGTTGCTACTCAAGAGTACAAAATTTCACATGATTCCACTATATACACACACACATGCATAACTCGGGATTCGGGAATTGGGAAACAGGAGGAGGGGATAATTGGGCCTCCGGTAACCTCACTCACACGACGAAACACAACGCTGTGGTTGTTTCACGTCGGTCTTCTACTCGGCCGTGGTGTCATTCCGGTCGAGCCGGCACATTCGTGCCGATGCATGGCTCTCCCACGCTTTGAGCGTTGGTAATGGCAGTAGAATATATTTGGCACCTCTCTAGATGGTCTAGCAGTGGAATGTTGATATACATCTGACAATCTCTTTACATGAGCTGCTGTTTACATGTGAACATTAGCTCAAAACAATACCTAAGTACGTGTGTCGCCTGGACAGTCACCGCTACCATCAGTTGACTGGACAATCTCTTTACATGAGCTGCTGTTTACATGTGAACATTAGCTCATGACGATACCTAAGTACGTGTGTCGCCTGGACAGTCACTTAAATTAATAATATTAAAAAAAATTACTTACGCCGAAGTCTTAGGCCTGGTCAGTTCGTCGTGGCTGTCCGAGTCCGACACCCGTCTCGCTAGGTCGCGCCTAATTTCAGCACTTGGTTTCACGGGGGCGCCATCTCGCAAGGTTTTTATAACGAACTCTTCTTCATATTCTAGGATCTCGTCTGGTTGCCACGGCCTGCGAATTGAGGTTTGATGCTTTAGTCGGGTGTTTTGTATCATGGGTACGTTTATAGACATAAATCTCGTATGTTTTTATTTAACAAACTTTTCCTTTTTGTAATAAACATTATTATTATTAACTATTGTGAGACATATGCCGGAATACTGAAACGTTAATTAATTTTAACCGTCTTTTTTTTTTTTTTTTTTAAGGGGGGAAAATCATCGAATGACTGCCCCCGCCTGGGTGAGGCGGGAGGGAGTGTCAGACTCTTACTGACTAAAAACCACCCCGTTCCTTCTCCTGCACGTCGAGCCGGAGCCCCGGTTACCCGTTAGGTTCTCCGCGAC